AATTTCCCAAAAGAATGTGGATGTCTAACTTTAGTAAGAAGATTGTTACATAGTCATATTACTAATACTGTATTTGGTTGAAGATTTGAGGAGGGATTTAGAAAAGGAAATAAAAAATATAAGTGAAATATGAATAAAATATATCTACATTTCACATAATTTTACATACTTTTTCCTATTTTCTTTTCAAATTCATTTTCAAATCCTCCAACCAAACACAACATAAATGTATCAACTTGTCAAAATTTAAAAATAAAATAGAATAATTATTAAAAATAATCCCCAACCTAAATTAACGTTAGTGAACTAAATTTATTGCCCATAAAAATAGAAAGGGCAAATTACCTATACCTCCTTTGAGGTTTAACGAAATTACAGATATCTCCTTGAGTTTTCAAAAATTACATCTCGCCCTATCGCAGTTCACTCTGTTAATGGATATCATAAATTGACTAAAATGTCATTTTGACAAATAAGGGCAAATTACCTACACTTCTTGAGGTTTAGATAAATTATAGATTTCTCTTGAGGTTTAGCTAAATTATTATTTTTAAATAAGTTATGAAATGCAAAATTAAAATGGAAAAATACTTATCATACTACAAAAAAACTAAGGTTTTACAGATCAAAATTTAGGGACAAAATTATTTTTAAGGGACCAAATATTTTTGTTGCGAAAAGTATTGTTATTATATTTTTAGTAACAAAATTGAACATCAGTGATTAATTATTATCTTTTTGGTATCAATTTTTTTGTTTAAAAAAAATTATTTTGAGACCAAATTATTTTGTCCATAAAAGTCTATTTATTATTGACATTTTCGAAATTTTATCGCTAAAAGCCTTACTTTTGACTTTTCAGGATGACTTTTTAGTGACTATCCTCACGATATTGAAATTAGTCTCTAAATATTTTTTGCAACAAATTTCACTTTTAGAGATCAAAATAATTGGTCTCTAAAACTCTTGTATGTTGTAGTGTCAGATGATGAAAATATCATAATATTGACAAATAATTAAATAAGTTAAAAACATAAGAAATGACTTGTCAAAAAATTCTTAGAATATGTTTGGTTTGATTTTTAGAAATTTATTTTTAACTGATTAAAAAAATTATTTTTAAAAATTTATTTTTAAAAAAATTTAAAATTAATTTGGTTAAGAAATAAGAAATAAAAAATAATTATTATTTTTATATAATTTTATCTTTTGAGTGGTTAGAAATAATTTTTACAAATTAAATATATTTTTATTAAATTAGTTTTATTTTTTTTTAATTCTGAATTTTTTTTCTAGACAACAAATCAAACATGGTTTCAACAACTTAATTTTTTTTTTTTTTCTATCTAATATAATTCTTTTGTAAATTTTGTTGATTTATCAAGGAGATTTCAGCTGGGGCAATATCGTCTATCAATTTATATTTTGGTGATGTGAGCTAACTATTTTTAAAGTTTAGTTAACGGTAGAGGTTAAATTGTTATGCAAATATAAATTTCGGAGGGTGGGATGTAATTTCTAAAATTTCAGGTGAAAATTTATAATTTAGTTAAACCTTAGGTGTAGGTAATTTGCCCAAATAAAAATAAAAACTAAATTTATTGTAATTAAAATATTTGGCTTACTAATTGTGTAATATTTTTTGTGGTGTGAGTTGTGGTATAACTCCTATGAAGAGGAGTTTGGGCAAGCTTACTGATTGTTAAGATTGTGGGCTAGTAGTATCGAGTTGTCATGATCTCAATTTCTGATCAACGTATGGCTCTTGCGTGCCATCATGAGTCATGTTTAGATGATTCGAACAGTATATTTTGTAGTATTTTTTATGTGTATTATTTATGAAAAAATTAAGTTAATTTAAGAATATTTGATTTGATTTTCATGCACAAATATTCTTAAAATTCACAAACAATTTAAAGAACTTATTTTAATATTTCTTACAAAATAATTAATTAAAAGTGGCATTCCAATTCCTGTTAGTTTGAATTTTAGATTTTTTTAATTTAAAACTAATTTTTAAAAAAACACAAAAAAATATTTTTTAAAATTATTTTTGTCTTAAAAAGAGGAAAACGTATGAAAAATAGCGTCTTTTATTAATCACACACAAAAAGAAAATTTCAAACTTTATTTTTTGTCCTAAGGAGAGAAAAACATATATAAATAGTGTTTGTTTAATAATTTTTTTCACCAATTTTTTTTTTTAAATTCTGAAAATCCAAAATGATCATGTTGCAAAACCATGTAATTCTATTCAGTACGTGACTCACACGCTACTCTGTAAAAATTTGCTTTCATTATTTATTTAGGCCTTATTTGTCATTTCCTAAAAAAAATAAAAAAATTAAAAAGTCACTATCCTATTTAAGTCACATCATCTTATTTAAATCACATCATATTTCTATCACATCATTTTAAATCTAATTCATATTTCATAAAAAATTAAAAAATACACTTATTTAAAACATTTTAAACAATACCTTACTTTAGAGAAAGAATATTTTTCGCATTACAATCGTGAACCTGTTTTAAATATTTTTTGCAAAGCGTTATAGGTCCCATCTCTCCAGTATGAACAAAACTGTTCCCACATCAACATCACATTCAAATCTAATCCCACTATTTGGAAGATTCATTGGTTAAATCAAACGTGCCCATAATCTCGAGAAGTTATTTGCTGTTCTCGGGCACAATGATGTGGTGCCCAGGTATCTTCTGATTGGCAGAGGGGTGGAGTTTACAATTTTATATTAGCTCAGTTTGGGAAGATGATTTATGGGCTTTTTTAGCTATTTTAGTCACAAAAGACAAAATAGACTATTTTAACCACAACAAACAAAATATCATATTCAACCCATAATTATTACCAACTTTGTCAGAGACCCCCAGTAAACCCCCACCCCCACCACACACGGGGGTTGGTCATTGATTCAAAAAAAAAAAAAATTTAAATTTGACCAATCAGAGCCCACTAGGGACTCGAGAGTCACCCCTATTGGGGATGCGGGCCATTTCTCAATCATTACATTCTTCTCTTATAAAAAAAAATTAAAAAATTCAAAAAGTCAAAAACTCAACCCACTTTCCAAACAAAGCCTAAGTCTGGTGGACCTGTAAAACTTGAATTTTCCAAAAAATACAACACAGTCCAATATTGAATTTTCACTCTAAAGTCACCTAACAAATTGTCACAGTCCAGTCAAATTTCGGTTCAATGATTTCAAAAATCAAAATCAAATTGAGTTATTTTTGGCATATTGAGAATTTTTAATCCACTCATCCTCAAAATCAACAGATTGATTGAATATTTGGTTTTAACTCAACAAATTTTTTTTTTATTTTTTTTATCAGTCGATATGAGAATAATTACAAGTATAAAAAATATTACATTATCGAACGAAACAAGTTATAAGTATGAAAAATATTAAATCATCAAACAAAACCTAAGCCCTAACCCAATACAACCTTTGTCAGTGATGTATGAAAAATATTACACCATCAAACAAAATCAAACCCAAGCCCAAGAACAACACAAGCCCCATAATAAGGGAAAAATAAACCACCACACCACAAAAGAAGGCCAAATACCCTCATTAGAATGAAAAAGAATATATAAAATTAAAAAAAAAACTAAAACCTTAATATTTTTACAATTTCAATCAAGAAATTTGTTATATATTCAAAAGTTAATCAAATTGAATTGTTTTTGACATAATGAGAATTTTTAATCCGCCCATTCTCAAAATCAATAGGTTGATTGAATATTTATTTAAATCAACAATTTGAGGGAATCAATCTAAAACCTTAATTTTCTTTTACAATACCTTTTTCTTTTTTCTTTTTAAATCCCTTCTCAAATCCTCTATCCAAACACAGCGAATAGAGAAACTTGGGGGTGTGGGGGTTATATATTCAAATATAAAACATACAAATTAATCAAATATTATTTTTTTTTAAAATTATATTTCATAAATTAATATACAAAATAATTAAATTAATAAAAATATATATGATGTAAGTTAATCATATATTAATGTAATTTTGTGAATACATTAATGAATTGAATCACTTTATAGGCTAATTATCATCTAATCTATTCAACTTCTCAAATCACACGAGTTAATTTGCATCATATTGGCGGTATTTTGCACACTCTTATCCCAAGAATTTCATTGTTATATATGTGACTTTGTGATGACCATTTATTTTGGAATAATATACAAATATACAGAATGGTTTAGTTTAATTTTGATCTTTTATTTTAAAATAAAACATGTGTGAAGATGACTTTTATTTACATTATCATATCCAGCGTAGTTTGGGCCCGTTAAGTCCACTATGAGTCTCACTTTGAAAATCTAAACAATGAATTTTTTAATAACATATAAATCATTCATAAAAAAAAAATTGGCAATTTGATAACCGTAAACACATTAGTTTGATCTAATTTTTAAATAATATTTGTTGTTAATTTTTTTTTTTTTTTGCAAAATAATGTCAACTCAAAAGAATTATTTAAAATATAAATAATTTAAATTATCAAATTAGAATCTATGGTAAAATCACGAGTCTAAACAGTAGGATTCAATTCACAAACTGCTTATGGCTTCCTTTGTAAAGTTAGCTATTTTAGTAAGTTATTTAAGTTTGTGACTATTTTAGAAGGTTAAAATTTTTGTGTTTGGAAAGAATGTTAAATTTTTATTAATTGGATATAATATTTATAAAAGAAAAAATAAAATAATTATGAACTTGAATTTTTATCTTATTAACTATTTTAACTTATTTTGTCTTTCATAAATTTTAACCAAAAAAGTCGAAATTTAACTTTCCAAACACCGCCTGTGAATAGAATTTTAGAGTCCTTTTTACTTTTTTGGACGAGTTAGGGCAAAACATAGAATTTCATAACCAACTCACCACTTTCTCTCTCCTTTCTCGCAACTTCCTTAAAAACAAAAGCCTACTCTTTATATAATTCAACAGACCATTAACCCATCTTCAATCCTCTCTCTCTCTACATTGATCGTTACGGGCTTTGTCATGGCAACAACAACTCCACGCTCTCTAGAAGTCACCGTAATCTCGGGTGAAGGCCTGCGAATCGGCCGGAGATGGCCACTGAAAAAGAATTGTGTGTTTGTTGTCATTCAGACAGATTCTCAGACTGTCCGAATGACGACAGACACAGAAAGCGGGACCCACCCTACCTGGAACGAAAAGCTTGTTGTGGACATGCCTGTCAGCGGCATGCATTTTGTCACGGTGGAAGTCCATTGCAAGACTTATTATTCAGGTGATAAAATCATCGGAACGGCAAGAATTCCTGTGACGGACTTCACCGGAGGGTACGTGCCGGAAAATTGTTTGCAGTTTTTGAGTTATCGGTTATGGAACCGTCGCGGGGAGAAGAATGGGATAATTAATCTATCGGTGAGAGTGAAGGTGCCGGAAACCGCCATTAGCGGTGGCTCATGTGCTGCCGTGGCTTCTTATTCGCGGCGGTGGACGGGAGGTCCGGTGGCGGAGAAGGATTTTGGTGGGATTGTCACCGGAGTTCCGGTGAGGTATAGGCATTAGGTCAAATTAGCATATGGTGTTGACGGATGGTGGCGAGCATGGTCTAATAAATACTATGGATTTACGATGGTAAGCGTTTGTTTGGTTTATGAATTTAAAAGGAATTTTTTATTTTATTTTATAAAATATAGGTGAAGCATAATTATATTTTATTAATACGTTTTTTTTTTCTTTTTTTAAATTTTTATTTAAATTCATGAACCAAACATTGATTTGAATTTGTATGAGTAATTGACTTATTTACGAGTTGATAACTTTTAACAATCTGAACACAATTAAGCTTAATAATAATTTGTTCAAATGATTTGAAAACTTAATGAGTTGAAATAATGTTCAAACTTAAGTTGTTTATAAACAAGTCCATCTTCAATAACTCTTTAATAACTCAATCTAACTTTTAACAAGTCAAATATGAGTCCAATTCAAGTATCTTGATTTACATAATTGATTACAGAATCTGAATGAAATTGATGTATATTTCTTTAGTAATCTCACCATATAATATGTATGATCAAAATTATTTTATATAATTAATTCACTATCCTTAAAAAATAATAAAGACTAAGTTATATGAAAAAGTTGGATCCGAAGTAAAGAGTTTAAATAAAATAATTTGATAATATATAACAACTCACTTCTTGAAATTATGTTTATCAAAAGAAAAATGGTGTTAGGAATTCATTCTATGTACTACAATTGATGAGAATGGATTGTATTGAAATGCTAATTTTTTTTTTTGGGGAGTAAATTATATCCACAGTCTCTATAATTTGTTTATTGTTTCAATTATATTAATTATATTCTTTAATTTTTTACATTATTTTAATTTAGTTCAATTGATAATGTTCGTTGAGAAATTAAACAGAAATCAACGACAAAATGATATATTAAAAAGGAAATGAACTATTTTACTAAACTCTCAATCACTTCAAGTGAATAACATATTTTAGTCTAATTTCAAAAGAAATGTTATTAATTAGATTAAATTGAAATTGTGAAAAAAATTTGAAGGTAAAATTGATCTCAATGTGAAATTATAAAGACCAAATTGATATAATAGACAAATAATAAGAATTATAAGTGCCAAATATAAAATATTTTTTTATTAAAATATAATTGACTAATTGAGACTTTTCAACCTATTATCAAGTTAGACAATTAACTATGTTTTTTTTTTTTTTTTTCTTTTTATTACTTTTGATAACCACCTCTTACAATTACTATCGTCTATCTATCACCATCCCTCTTCTTCCCCAACTCATTGTCGCCTTCCATTCTTTTGCCCTACCCATCGCTACTTCTTTCCATCTTCAATTCACTGTCACCCCTCTTTTTTCTACCCTAGTCTATAGCAACCACCATCGTCAACCCTTTTTTTTTCTTCCCTAGTCTATAGCCACCACGATCGTCAAGCACCACCCATAAAAAGTGATTAAAATTATCTAAATTATTTTTTGTTTCATTAATTATAACTAAGTTGAAAGTTATATTGAAACAATTAAAATATCAGAATTTAGCCAACTTTGTATGAGTTTACTTGTCTTTAGTGGTATCTTTTGGTCAACCATTCAAACATTTCATGGACTTTTAGACTAAAATGACCTAATAAGTTAAAATAAATAAATGTCTAATGAATAATGCACTAAAAACAAAAGAATTTGCACTTTGGAAAAAATATAAAATATTTGGTCTTTAGTGACATTTTTTCCAATGAATATTTTAATTTTGTAAATGCTTTTTAGATTGATAAAATTAAGAATCCTCAAAAGTAAAGAATAATTAAATAAATGTATAACAAAAATACATGTCATTAAATAAAAAAAAATTATAAAACAGGAACAATTTTTTTTTTACTTCCAATAAGACAAAAATATCATACAATAAGTTTTTATTTATTTTGACGTAAAATATTTTATACAAAAAAATATTTATATTTTTTGGTATTTGGTTGACATTTAAAGTAAACATATTTTATTGCCTAAAAGAAAAATTTTGATTTAATAAAGTGTCATTTATAATTTTTTAGTGAGTTAAGATATTTATTTAAAAATGCTAAATGTGTTGAAAAAGTAGTGAGTAAGAGTTAATTTCCTTAAAATTGACTTAGAAATTTTTTAAAAGTAAGTCATTTTTAAAAAAATGATGCAAAAAAAAAATTCTTAAAAAATATTTTACTGGCTTTTTGTTCAATCAAATAATTGGAAAATGAGAAAATATTTTTGAATGAGCTTTTGACAAATTTTTTTTTTTAATTTTTTAATCAAAAAATTTATATTTTAGGTAATTCTAGATTGAAGGCCCAAAAGATAAAATAAACCGATCAAATTTAAAATTAAAAAAAAAAACCCACTGGAAAATTTCTTTAATTGGATTTCTTTAAAAAATTAATTCATTTTTAAAACTTTTAAGGGCTTCACTACAACAAATAACAGTTTTGGCTACTAAAATATTAGTCGCCAAAGGTCAGATTTTTAGTCAATAATACCATTTAGCGACTAAATTTTTTTGTCGTCAAGTTAGTCGCCTAAACCTTGTCGGCGAATGTTTTAGCGACTAAACACGTGTTTGGTCGCTGAAAGTGCAACATTTGGCTACTATTTTTTTAGTCGGCAATGTTACTTTTTAGCTACTAAATTTTATTTGGTCGGCAAAAATAAATGTTTTGGCTACTAAATTATTGGTCGCCAATAGTCAATTTTATTTTTTAAAATTATATATTTACCGACTAATACTCAAGGAATCGGCGACCGAACCTTTTAGTCGCCAAAAGGTCATTCGTGAAAAAAAAAAAATTACACTCACTAACTTCTCATTTGCTTTTGTAGAGATTCAAACCATCAACCTCCCACACCATAAACCTTATATAACATACTCTTTCTACTACACCTCTATAACACTATATGATTATGTACGCAACATATATTATTTATATAGTACATAGACCCGTATTAATATAAAAGTATATATATAAATATAATTATTTTTTGGTATCTGACAATTATAAGAATCTCTCCTATAATTTCAATAATTACATTAACCTTCTTTATTTTTGAAACTATTATTAAGATTCCTCCATTCACTACAAGAATCTGCACTTTTCGCGACCACTTTTCGCGACCAATGTAAAAGTTGGTAGCTAAAAGTTATCTTTTGGCGACCAAATATTAATTAGTCGCAAATGATCATTATTTTTGGCGACCAAATATTATTGGTCGCAGAAGGTTATATTTTGGCGACCAAAAAATGACTTGGTTGCAGAAAGTGATATGTTTTTGCCGACCAACTACAAATTTGGTCGCGGAAGGTCACATATTTTTTATTGCCTAAAAGAAAAATTTTGATTTAATAAAGTGTCATTTATAATTTTTTAGTGAGTTAAGATATTTATTTAAAAATACTAAATGTGTTGAAAAAGTAGTGAGTAAGAGTTAATTTCGTAAAAATTGACTTATAAATTTTTTAAAAGTAAGTCATTTTTAAAAAAATGATGCACAAAAAAAATTCTTAAAAAATATTTTACTGGCTTTTTGTTCAATCAAATAATTGGAAAATGAGAAAATATTTTTGAATGAGCTTTTGACAATTTTTTTTTTAATTTTTTAATCAAAAAATTTATATTTTAGGTAATTCCAAATTGAAGGCCCAAAAGATAAAATAAACCGATCAAATTTAAAATTAAAAAAAAAAACCCACTGGAAAATTTCTTTAATTGGATTTCTTTAAAAAATTAATTCATTTTTAAAACTTTTAAGGGCTTCACTACAAGAAATAACAGTTTTGGCTACCAAAATATTAGTCGCCAAAGGTCAGATTTTTAGTCGATAATACCATTTAGCGACTAAATTTTTTTGTCGCCAAGTTAGTTGCCTAAACCCTGTCGGCGAATGTTTTAGCGACTGAACACGTGTTTGGTCGCTGAAAGTGCAACATTTGGCTACTATTCTTTTAGTCAGCAGTGTTACTTTTTAGCTACTAAATTTTATTTGGTCGGCAAAAATAAATGTTTTGGCTACTAAATTATTGGTTGCCAATAGTCAATTTTATTTTTTTAAATTATATATTTACCGACTAGTACTCAAGGAATCGGCGAACGAACCTTTTAGTCGCCAAAAGGTCATTCGTGAAAAAAAAAAAATTACACTCACTAACTTCTCATTTGCTTTTGTAGAGATTCAAACCATCAACTTTCCACACCATAAACCTTATACAAGGTACTCTTTCCACTACACCTCTATAACACTATATGATTATGTACGCAACATATATTATTTATATAGTACATAGACCCGTATTAATATAAAAGTATATATATAAATATAATTATTTTTTGGTATCTGACAATTATAAGAATCTCTCCTATAATTTCAATAATTACATTAACCTTCTTTATTTTTGAAACTATTATTAAGATTCCTCCATTGTTACCTTCTATTAATTTATTTAACATAATTTGCTGATATTATATTGATGTAGTATGTTATAAAATCAAAAATGACAAAATTGTCCATTAATTACCTTATCCATTTAAATGAAAGTTTTCACTCACAACTCGTGAGATTTTGCATATATTATCAAAAAGTCATATATATTTTAGCATTATTTAATAAAATTCTTAAATTTCATGCAATATTAAATAAAATCCTTAAATTGTTAAAACATTATTCAATCATTTAATGAAAAAAACTTAATTTTCATTGATAAAATACTTAAAAATAAACAATCTCTTTAAATTAATGTTAGATAACATTCTAATAATTTAATGAGTAAATTACAAATACACCCCTGGGATTGGCTTAAAATACGAATTGCCCCTGTGGTTTAGAAAATTACAAATATTTTCCTGTCATAATTTTTTATTTAACAAATTAATTGAAAAAGTTAAATTTCTAACTGTTCACCTATACAATAATAAAATTATATGAATTATTAATTGAAATACAATTTTAACATTATTAAAAACTGTTAATTAACTTGATGATTTATTAATAAAATGACCTATTTGTTATGAAATTGGAAACCTTAGGGGGCATAATGTAATTTCTAAAATCACATAGGATAATTTGTAATTTAAGTAAATCTCAGGAGTTGTGTTTGTAATTTACCCTAATTTAATATAAAATTTGTTCCACACTACATAAAAAACATAAAATTATCATTTTAAGTAATGCATTTATTATTTGATTTTTTTTAAAAAAGTTGAAATAAATGGATTTATTTTTTTCTCCGCAATTTGTATTATTTATTTATTCATAGGGTAAATTACAAATACACCCCCTGATATTTGATTAAAATACGAATTGCCTCTTGTGGTTCTGGAAATTACATTCCACCTACTGAGGTTTCTAATTTCATAACAAATCGCCCCTTTTATTAATAAATTGTCAAGTCAATTAACAGTTTTTAATGATGTTAGAAATATATTTCAATTAATAATTTAGGTAATTTTATTATTGTATAGGAGAGAAATTATGAATTTCATTTTTTCACTTAATTCTGTTAAATAAAAACTTATGACAAGAGGGTATTCGTAATTTTTCAAATCACAGGGGACAATCTGTATTTTAAGGAAATCTCAAGGGGTGTATTTGTAATTTACTCTTATTCATATGTAAAAAAAATATACATTATTTTATCTTTTCTCAATCATATATTATTCTCAAATTTTAATTTTTATCTTTTAGTCATTAAACTTCTAGTCGATACATATTTTAAAAAAATACAAGTTAACATTTCTTATATGATTAAAAAAAATTGAAAAATAAATATAGAAGTAAAAAAAATGGGATTTGTAAATAAATCTCTCAACAAAATCTAATTACCTTCAATAAAGTAAAATTAGTTGATAAGGAATGAAGGATCTAGATACCATCTGAGACTAATAAACAATTCAAATAATTTGTCATTTCTTACACTTAAAATTAAATTTAATCTTTACTTGAATGGAGAAATTATTTGAGAATAATAAAATATTTAATTAATTTGTCATGTATGATACTTAAAGTATATTTCTCCTTTTTTATTTATCTCATTTAAACTATTTTTATTAAATTAAATCTTAAAATTTAAATTTTTGTTTTATTTTTTATTTATAAAAGTTCAAAAACTTGTTGTGGCAAAAAAATAGTGTCACATTTATATTTTGAAAAAGTTATGAAAAATAAATAATAATTTTATATATATTTAATAAGATAAATTAAATTTAGTGCATTTAAGGTTAAGATTAATGTTGATACTGAATGAGTTTGGTTTAATTGTTAGAAAGCTTACGGGATGTAAGATTTTTTTACTTCTATATTTATTTTTTAATTTTGTTAATCACGTAAGAAATATTAACATGTGTTTTTTTTTTTTTTAAATTTGCATCGACTAGAAGTTTAATGACTTAAAGATAAAAATTAAAATTTGAGAATAATATATGATTGAAAAAAATAAAATAATATTTTTTTACATTGAATAAATAAGTAATGCAAATTGTTAGGAAAAAATAAATCCATTTATTTCAATTTAAAAAAAAATCAAATAATAAATGCATTAATTAAAATGATAAATTTTACGTTGTTTATGTAGTGTGGAATAAGTCTTATATTAAATTATTAAGATGTTATCTAACATTAATTTTAGAGAGATAGTTTATTTTTAAATATTTTATCAAAGAAAATTTAAGTTTTTTTCTCCATTAAATGTTTTAATAATGTCTTAACAATTTAAAGATTTTATTTAATATTGCATGAAATTTAAGAATTTTATTAAATAATGCTAAGATATGTATGGTTCTTTGATAATATATATGCAAAACCTTAAGGAGAGTAAATGTAATTTACCCATATTGATAAATGAGACTTCTTAGGTTATGTGTATTTTTGTCTTTTCACGTGCAAATCAAAAGATAATGTGGTCATTTTCACACCCAGCTAACACTATTTGTACGAAACTTAATAGATTGGGAGAATCTTGATAATAGTTTCAAAGTAAAGGTAATTAGTGTAATTATTGATATCACATGGGTGGTTCCTGTAATTGTTAGAAATCTCATGGAAGATAAGTGTAATTTACCCAAACAATTATCAAGAATTTATGAAAATTCTACTAAAAATAAAATAAAAATACACTCACATAGCAATAAGAATGTTACAGTTATCTCTACAATTTTGATAAAATCACATAACTTTATGAGGGAGACTGGAACCCACATTTGGGCCAAAAATGAAGTGGATGGTGAAAATTGAAAGAATCTATTGTGGGATATATGTATAGAATAAATTTAAATCACGCATTGATATTTCTAAATAATTTATAAATAATTTTTTTTGTATATTTATGGTACTACTAACTTTCTCTACAACAATGACAACATTAGTGGTACAAATGTTAACCTATATTATGTATATAATAAAATAGAAATTCAACAATATTTTATATAAATTCAATAATATATTATGTACATATTACATATAATATTATTACTAAATACTTATCTCCGACTAGAACCTGATTAGAGTTGTTTAAAATTTTTTCCAAATTCGATCCTAATTCAACCACCCCCAAAATCCATCCCATTATTAGGTGGAAAGAGGCGGGACCCGATATTTTGCCATCCCCAAAATTCATCCCATTAGATTTTTTTAAAAAACAAAAGGTAGACTTGAGATTAAATTTTTTTTTAAAAAAAAGTTACATTTTTTATTTTTAATAAAAAAAAAAAAAAATTAATTTTTAGATCATTTTTATTAGACAGACTTGAAAAAGAAATACCTCTATGAAATTTTTTAAAAATTTCACTAAAAAAAAGAAAAAAATAAAAAATTATAAATGCATCTTTTAAAATTTGATTAAAATACAAATTATTTCTTATGGTTTTGAAAATTATATTTCACTCCTTCATGTTTTCAATTACATAACAAATGACTCGTTTTATTAATAAATTATTAAGTCACTTAATTTTTTTTAATAATGTCATAAATATATTTCAATTAATAATTCAGGTAATTTTATTATTATATAAAAAAGTAGTTAAAAATTTTATTTTTTCTATTATTTTTGTTAAATAAAAAATTCTGATAATAAAATATTTGTAATTTTCAGAATTAGAGAGAAATTTATATTTTAAATAAATTCAAAAATGTATTTATAATCTATCAATATATATATATATATTATGAAATGTGGTGTTGGTTTGGGTTGGGTTTGAAGTGATGTGTTAGAGAGGTGATGTGACTTAAATAAGATGATGTGATTTAAATAGGATAGTGACTTTTTGACTCTTTATCTTTTTTCAATTATGCCAAACTTGGCCTAGTTCAAAACAGTTGCCAAACACAAAGGCCTATTTTGAGAGGTTGACTTTCAGCCACTTTTTTTAGTTTGTAACAAAAGTTAAAAGTTGACTTTTTTAAATTTTGTTTCATTTGAAAAGTTAGTTTTTAACCAATGATGAAATTACAATTTTATCTCTCATAGGTCAAAATATATTACATGAGTGAAGTTGTAATATTTTAAACTAAATGAAATAATTTAGTCATTTTATTATAATTTGATATCATAAATAAATATTAATAAAAAAAATCAAAATAAATTTTTACCAATTTTACAAATCATTTATTTAAAAAAAAAACAAAAACTTAATTAAAAACTAAAAAATCACTTTTTGCCTTCTTTTCAAAATAGGCCAAAGTAACAACAACAATAAACGACAAAAAAAAAAAAAAAAAAAAAAAAAAAGAAGGGAAAAGGTCCACCAAAAGTTAACACAATCGATGGTGTGCGGAGGGAATTAGGTCCCTTCCTTACATTTCTTACTTGTAAGCTTATTGGACTCATTTTTAGATCTAATTTTGATAATTTAAATTGTTCATATTTTAAAATATGTTTAATATATTATATTTATAAATTTAGTATATTATATTTGTAAAAAATAAAGTTGATCCGATATTAAAAAGTATGTATTCGAAAAATTATTTATTAAATTCTTTAAAAAAATAATTTTTAGTTCGAGTTTATCAAATTTAATATCTAATTAACTTGATTTTTTTTATAGATATGATATATTAAACAAATTTTAAAATTTAAACGGTTCGAATTAAGAAATGCAAGGAGGGATCTGATTTGTGGGGACCTAGAAATTTTTGAACACTACTCCAGACCTGACGCCGAAGCTAATTGCCACCACCTCTCGCTTCTCTCCCATTTTCCATCCCTCCCGATCAAACCAATTCACTTTCAAAGACCAGAAAATTTTCCTCTGAATTCAACCCTAGACATCATACAAAATCCACACCATCCAAATCAATCGTCTCCCCAATTCCGTTCCGATCAAACCTAGGGTTTTGAATTTTCTCTCTCAAACAATGATCCTAACCTAACCAAACCACTCTCAAACCCTAGCTCCATACCTAATCCACACCCTCCGGCGATGTCGACGGCGAGACCATCTCGTTCTCCGACCGACAACGGTGGCGGCGGCATCGATGCGACGCCGTTGCTGACCGATCAGATCTTCCTGAGCCGCCGCTTCGTGCGCCGCCCGCCGAGCCTCCGCGGCGCGGCTCGGTTCCTCCGCCGCGCCAGCAGTCGGAGAATGATGCGTGAGCCGGAGTTGAGGGTGAGAGAGGCGGCGGCGGAGCAGATCGAAGAGAGGCAGAGCGATTGGGCGTACTCGAGGCCCATCGTGATCCTGGATCTGTTGTGGAACTTCGCGTTCGTGTTCGTTGCTTTGTCGGTGTTGGTGGTGAGTCGGAAGGAGTCTCCGACGATGCCTTTGAGGCTTTGGATTGTTGGATATGCGTTGCAGTGTGTGCTTCACATGGTGTGTGTTTCGGTGGAGTATAAGCGGCGGAGGCAGCTGCGAATTTCGCCTGATAGTTTGCCGTTGCGTGGTGGGAGTGGTGGTTGGTGGAGCAGATTGAATTCGAATTTGAGTTCGAGTTCGAGTTCAAGTTCGGATAGTGATGTTGGGGAGTCTGGGGATTATCTCCCTGAGCGGCCTCAGATTGAAGATGAAACCAGGTGCTATCGCTAATGTTCTTTCTTTTCTTTTTTTTTTGAAGTTTCCTCTGATTTTATTGTATTGTATGTGCTTTTGATTAGGTTTTGATTAAGTTCCACGATTGGGTATAAATTGGTGGGTAATTAAAGGATTTTGATTTCAGTTCAGTTTGTGTTAGTTCTTTTTTGTGTAAAATTTAGGATTCCTAAGGGAAAGATTGTTATTTTGATTTGTGAGATACATAGAAAATTCAGTAATTGACAATCTTGAATCTGTAATACATGGTTACCAGCATAGTTGTCAAATCGGAATTTGAATCATGAATCAAAATGGTATTGTATCTAATTGCAAATCGAATCGAATCTTGAATTGTAAAGATTTGGTCATTTTTTTTTATATTTTTATATAAAAAAAATATATGTACACATTTAGATATTAAATGTATCTAATAAATATAAAATATTTAGACTTAAATTAATGAAAATATGATCATGTGGTATGGGTAAGAAGTTAACACAGTTCCCATGTTTACCTTTTTCCTTTTTAGTTTAGATACTATTTCTTATATACTATTCTTAATAAAGAAAGCAAACAAAGACAGATTTTTAATTTCTAAGTAATAATAACTCAATAACAATGTTTTTAACTTTTTACAAGGTAAAAAAATCAAAATCTTTGAATTTTTTTAAAAATCTCACTTGATTCTTTCAAAAAATTCATTTTGTAAATGCAAGTACTTAGATAAAATTGAATACGTAAGCCTAAAATATTGTGGAGAGAGAAAATTCATTTTGTTTTCGCTAAGGTTCGAGTATTTGAGAATAAATTGGGAGGGAAAAAATCAAAAGATGACATATAGTAATCCTAAAAACCTTAAAAAGGTTGTGTAAATCATTTTCCAATAATAAAAAATCCAAAAAGAAAGCCAAACATCGATTTTGGTGAATTGAATCGATTCACGATTCACCAATTCGGTTCACTGATTCACCGATATTTACCTACGATTCATAGTTGTTTGCGATTCACACAACCTGTTTGTATCGATTAGCTATTGAATTGAATAGAATTGTACGATTCGAATCGCAAATCGTACGATTCTAATAACAGAGGGTACAAGTGATAGAAATGAAGCTAGTGGTGGATTTGTTTAAAAATTTGGCACGGACATATGCATGCATTTTAATGATTACCTGTGTAGTTGTGTCTTAAATTGTTTGAGATGGCCAAATTTTTTATGGATATAGACCATTATATAGTTGTGTGGATATGGTTTTTTTTCCTTTGCCATCATACTTCTTGTTGTGCTAAAGAAAGCTTATCTACCTGTTTCGGTTGGATCGTTATCTGTTGGGCAATACTTTTTTCATAAATGTGAATTGAGTTTCTACTTAAAGGTTGAAGATGAGTTGGGCACATGTCAAGGACCATTGGAGGAGTGGCGGTGTTGAACAAGTGACAATGCATAGTTATTATGTTTTTATCTGTAGAAAGTATATGCTTTTGCAGCAGTAAGGATGGTTGTTAGTTATCAAATAACAGTGTAGATGATTGATGTTGAGGTTTTATCAAATCTTGGATTAATATCATAACCATGTCAATTGGCATATTGCTTTCCTTGGACAGTGGCATGATGCTGGGATGTAGAATAGGATCGAATGAAAAAAAGTTGCTTGGCTATCAATGAACGCAATCTAGTGATTACTTGTAGGACAACTCCCGAAGTATAGGTTTAGTAGGATGTCTACATGATAATTATATAATCTGTGGGTTATTGCTATATTTGATGGTTATGTTACCAAAGTGTGTTTGAGACAAAGACTCCTCATTGCATTAAAGAAAGGTTGTGTAAGCTCCTTTGGTAAAAGATGACATTGGGCTACAACGCCCACCTCCACAGGGGTGGCAATGATTACAAATCCTGAAGAAGGCCATGTTTATCGAATAGCATATGAACGTTAATTGATATTTATGATCTCTATTTATGTGTAACATGGTTACATACAATTTTTTTTTTTTTTCTTTTAACAGACATGAATCCTATATTTGTGGAACAATAGTAAGAGAAGTTGATGCAATGAGAAGTGTATTTAAAGGCACAAAACATTATATTATTCAGCCTCTCAATTGTTTGAAAAAATTAATCCTCAAGAAAACCATGTTTATCAAATAGCATATAAACAGTAACTGATATTTATAATTCCTATTTTTGTGTAATTTTGTTACATACAATTTTTTGACAGACATGAATCCCATATTTATGGAAAGATGGTAAGAGAAATTGATGCAGTGAGAAGTGTAATAGAGAATCTGTTGATTCAAAAGAGAATACCAAAAGTAAGATCTTCTCTAGACTCGTTGAGTCACAAAGAATGTCAAGAATAAGACTCAACAATGGTTGATTCTCAAAAGAATACTGAAGGCTGGAAAGAACAGTATAAACTCGAAATTGTTTTAATTCTCAAGATTGAATTGCCCTAAGGTTTACAACCATTATCTATAATAAAAGATAACTTCTAAAGCAACTAGGAATAGTAAAATGGAAAATAAAATGTTAGGAATAAAAATAATTATTGTAGAAGAAGAAAGAAAGAAAAATAGGAAACCTAAATAAATAAGAAACTAAAGATTCTAGCTTTAAATAATAATCCTAATAAAAATTTAAGATTTCCTAATTAAATATTAAATCTGAAATAAGTAAAATAAAATATATAATTCTTTAAATTTGGTCTGCATCAGAAATGGACCAGCCCTTGTATATGAAACGTTCTTGAAATAAATTAGAAGATGGCAGTTAAAAGTAGCTGAAATGGCTGATGTAGCCTTTGGTTCCTTGGGATCATAAATTTTAACCTGAATTGACATGTGAATTTATGGCTACTTTGGTCACTATTATGCGCTTCTTGAGTATGGTACTAGAATGAATCTTCAGTTGATATTTGATTAGTCTATTGTATTATTGTAGTCTGCAAACCTAAGATATTTATGTATATTTTTTTGGTTTGGTAGAGATCAAACCTAAGATATTCTTTTCCTTTATTTTTGGTTTGGTATATCTGCTACTGAGCAGTCTTTTGGGTTTTCTGCCTCCTGACTAGAATGGAGATGCATTCATAACCTTTGAAAAGAAAAAGTAATGATAATACTCCCATCTCACATCTATTTTTGCTGAATTTGAAGTGAGATATATTGATGTATACTGCTTGGTGATGTGTTAAATATGCTTGACTTTGCATGCCCATACCCATGATGTATGACTATCCTTGCCTATTCATTGTGGCAGTGTTGCTAAGCATTTGGAGTCTGCAAATACAATGTTTTCATTTATTTGGTGGATCATTGGATTTTATTGGGTATCTGCTGGTGGCGAAGCTTTGACACAGGATTCACCTCAACTTTACTGGTTCGTCTGATCATATTTTCTCCAATGAATTTTTAGTTCAAGATTTACTCGGTTCTCTTTTGGATTATTTACACATGGTTATGTTTTGCAGGCTCTGTATAACATTTTTGGCATTTGATGTGTTCTTTGTTGTTATCTGTGTTGCTGTGGCATGTGTCATTGGTATAGCTGTTTGCTGCTGTCTTCCATGTATAATTGCAATATTATATGCAGTAGCAGATCAGGTAATTTACAGAAGTGTCTCTTTGGTTTTGTGTTTATTGCCATGAAAGACTTTAATATATTATATTTCCAAGCCTAGATTTTTCAACTGCAAAATAGTTATTGGTGTTCAGATATACAGCTCACACCAATAATTGCTTTATTTAATCAACTAAATCCACTACGAAGCATAATTGAAATTACATTGAACTTCGAACTTTGGAGTGAACTATATGTTCTACTACTTACCAGAATTATCTGTGGCTTAAAATATTGTAAATTTAACATTTAAGCTTGGATTTGAATCCAGTTTTCTTCAAATAGTCATTTTATGGATGACCCCATCACATCGCTTGTAACATTTTCATCCTGACTTTCTAGCTCGGTATTGTAGCTAACTTCTTTTTTTTTTTCTGAGATTGGACAGAAACTTCTTACTTTGTTTGCATTTTGAATACACCTTATGTCTTTGGGTGAGTGACATCACAGAATTTATTGGCACATTGTCTGCAAGAAAATGTAACATTAATGACACAGGGCAGAGTGTAGAAATTCCTTTCTATTGACTTTAGTGGTGGAACTTGCTAGAGATACTAGTGCACTGTCTATCTATGCGTAAAATTTTAATCTTGTACTATGTTCCTAAAGAGGAGATATCATGCTAGGAGCATTGGATGACAACTGAGATCTGAGTTTGGGTTGTTAAGTCTCTCTCTCTCTCTCCCTCTCTCTCTCTCTCTCTCAGAGTTAAAAGGGTTCATGGTCAACTGTCCAGTCTGTACTTAGAATTGCTTTACCAAATGTCTGTTTGATTATTTGACATCACCTTTACTCTGAATGTTGAATGTTTCTTCTTTGACTAGGCATTAACTTCTGTATGAAAACAGGAAGGAGCAACGAAGGAAGACATTGAACGACTGCCCAAATACAAATTCCGGAGGATTGGTGACTTTGAGAAACAAAATGGGGAGATTCAAGAATCTTTTGGAGGAATAATTACGGAATGTGATACTGATTCACCAATTGAACATGTTCTTTCCCCAGAAAATGCTGTAAGTTTCTTGATTCAATCAAGATATTCTTTCATGTACTCTGAAATGAAAATTAAGAAAGTTCTGACAAAACATGCTTAAGAACTTGCCACATTCCCTTGTACGACTACATCATTTTCATGAAGGTTATGACTTGCATCCAATCCTCAGACATGGAGATTGATTTTCTAATCATTGAAATAGGACAAACTGCTCAGATACACTAATTTGGTAGTGCAGATATAGTGCGATGACTAATAGCCCTTATCATTATGGGATTTTTTTTTTTGGCTTTCTTTTTACTGCTTCTGAAAAAGAAAAAGAAAAAGAAAAAGAAAAAAAGAGGCTCAAATTATCATTGTAAAATTGTGGTGTTCCTTGGTATCTTCAATTACACCGAAAATAAATAATAAACATTTCTGAATTTGAGACCTGTTTATTGTTGGGTCATTAATATTTCATTTGCATGCCATGTATAAAAAGAAAAAAAGGGTCTTTGTTAACATGTGTCTTTATGGCACATGTTAAGATGGCTTAAAAGTATTGTACATTTTTTATTAGACGCACACTTTTATGCAGAATATACAATCTTTTTAAGCTTTTTAGTATGTGCCCCAAGGGCATGTTTACAAAACCCATAAAAAAAGTTCGTTAATAGGTGAGTTCAATTACTTAATGCTAGATTTCTTTATAGCTTATAGCTTTCCATGAACTAAGTCAACAGTTAACCTTTGACACGACTCCTCGTGAATCACAGGAATGTTGCATTTGCCTTTGTCCCTATGAAGACGGAACTGAACTGCGTGAACTCCCTTGCCGCCATCATTTTCACTGCTCCTGCATAGACAAGTGGTTGTACATCAATGCTACATGTCCTCTCTGCAAGTTCAATATACTGAAGAACGGCAATCAAAGTAGTAGCGAGGAAGTGTAGGAAAAAGGCTAGTTCTTCAATGGATTGGTAACTTTGGATCTTGTTATGTGTATTTTGTGATTCTGCCAACACGGTTTCTCAAGATCTGCTCCGGCTGAAGTGTTGTTTACGAGTACATCATAGTGCTGCAGAATCTGTTGTTTTCCCTTGTTTGTGTTTGTGTTTAATGTACATGGGTATTTTTTCTTTTCAACAGACCACTGTTGTGTTAGCTGTTGATGTAGCTTTTGTTTATTGTGCAATCTATAATCTCTGGAATTCGATTGTTACAACATAGAAAGTGTTTTGAAAAATGGTAATTACTCTCGTAATTCTGATCATAATGGATCCATGACTTAAATCTCCATACAATGAACTAGAGAGAATCTCATAAATGTGCATCTAATTTTAATTTTTAATCCCTTTCCTTGCTAACTCACACAGTGGTTAGGCATTAGCACCAAAGAAGTGTATTTGAGACTTGGGAATCCCGTATCATCATTTAGGTTCCACCACAAAATCGCACCATAGGTAACTCAAGTGGAATTTGGGGCATTTTAGATACTGGAGAGTTTTATTTTTACAATTGGTAGAAGGAGAATAGAGCAAGGAGAGAGGTTTCATTGTGAAGTGGTGATATTTGAACTTGGACAAACGGTGGACACAGTAAGGGTGTGTTTGGTAACGTTTACGTTTTCAGTTTATATTTACAAAAAATTTATAAACTGGTTTTTGTTTATTTTTAGAAAAACATAAACTACAAACGCGTTTGGTAATTGACAAAATGTTTAAAAAATTTTAAAAATACAAAAAAAAAAGTGAGAAATGAAAACGTAAGTGTTATCAAACGGCACCTAAGTAAGCGCTTCATTTATCATGCCGAAGGGGGTCAAAATAACTGTGCGAGTTTGGATTGGCCTTGGGTTGGATCCTTCCATGGCCTTGGGCCTAGAAGATGCGAGGACGAGGTCTAGAATTCTCTATGGCATGGACAAGACATCTACGACAAAGACTCAGATTGGGTGCAAATCGACACATTACGAGTTGGGTTGAATAGTTGGACAAGGTATGGTCATTTTGGACTGGATTGGATTGAACCTATCGTGAGCTCAGTCGGCCAACTTGGATCGTTCTCCCTTAGGATCAGTAATGCTGATAAGCATTGATTGATCAAGATAGCACTAACCAAAGTATATGCGGAGATTGGTGATGGTTTGTTCATGGAGGAATTTCACATCACTAGAAGTTCTAGATATTTGGTAAAATACTATCGGGAAGCATCTTAGTTACATGAGATGTTGGATTGCCCTCATAGATGTTGACATAATGGTAGTCACCTTACTCTGTGCACGTTGAAGGCCTGACCAGAGACATGTAACGCGGTTATTCTCGTGTATTTCTTGGCTGGTAAGAAATTAACTTTATAAAATGTAACATTGTCTTCTTTGGAAGGGACATCAAAACTCTTTGAACCCTACCTCTTTGCATGCTTATGTTATGCTTTTCATACACTGATGGGTATTACACAAGATAAGGATACGCTTCATCTACCATGTTCATACTAGATGTTTAAGAGGAGAGTCAACTCCACAAAATGTAACATTGTCTTCTTTGGAAGGGACATTGAAACTCTTTGAACCTACCTCTTTGCCTTTTTATACTTTTCATACATTGACGGATATTACACACGATAAGAGGCGTTTCATCTATCATGTTCATACTAGATGTTTAATAGCATCTCCAATAGTGTTGTTAGAGCATCCACAATGAAAAAGTTATTGTGCGTTATTCAGATAATGTTGGGTTGAAATGAAGCTACAATGGAGCTACTCTATCCATTGCTTAGTTTATTAGACTCTAAGGCCTTATTTGTTAGTGAAGAGATTGATAGTTATGGATTAAGTAAAATTGTGTTTGTTTTGATGATAGTTGTTGGTGTAGGGATTGTTAAATTATTTTTATATGAAATAATAAAACAAATAAAAAATACAAAAATATTAAACATTAATGTTCAAAAAAAAAAGGCCCAACATGTAAAAAAAAAAATTAGAAAAAAATAAAATAAATAAAACAATGACTTTTACTTAACAAAAAATACAAAAAATTAAACATTAATATTTAAAAAAAAATGCCCAACATATAAAAAATAAAAATAAAAAAAAGTCCGGTAGACTAATATCAATACTAAATTCTGCGGGCCCAACCTAATCCCCTCCTCAAGGAAATTCGTCATCTCTCCATCTTTCAAAACAAACATGATATTATTAGGTATCACCTCACTATGAATCTCAATCCCTTCCCTGTAACTCAAAACAAACAGGACGTAAGTTCTTGGTCACAGTTAGCCCATGAAGAGAGAGAGAGGGCTTGCCTTTTGCAAACGATTCTGCTGTGTGCAGAGTTGGTATACTAAAAGGAGAGAGAGAGGAGAAAAAAGGAAAAAAAAAATGTATTTTTATTATTATATCATTTTTTGTCTATCATATACACTCCATTGTGAATGCTTTTAAAATTATTTGTTGAAGTATTTTATATGATAAAAAGTGTGAAAAGTGAGACTCATTTGTGTGTATTAAATGTTTGTTAATTTAGAGAGTGAGTGTATACTCTAATAATATAATTAAGATGTGTATTAAAGCATATGTTATGTAAGGGTAGGATTCACTCAAATATATATGCGCAAAATAATATAACTGTTGTTTATTTATTTAAATTATTGTGCCTATATAACGATTTAACTATTAGTTAAAAAAAAATACAAGAAAAGTGGGAGCACACACAGGAAAGTGCCATCACACACCCCTCTCTCTCTTTCTCTCTCTCTCTCCTGCCTTAGTTACTGTGGTTTCCACAATAATTAGTTAACATATTAGCCAACATACTAACTAACCAACATTATAGCTAACCTATTAGAGACTAGAGAAAATGACAGTTTGCTGAGTTAGTAATATCTGACACTAACAATTGGTATATGCATCCACTAAGAGCATCTCTAACGGTTCATTAAATTTTTTGTTAAATTTGAGTAAAAAAATTATTATTTTCTCAATTTGGTACCAGATGTTCCAACAGTTTACCTTTCACCAAATCTGTCCCGGGACAACCGGCTGGTTGACCGATGAGGGGAAATTTTTTTTTTTTTTTTGAATTGTTTGAATTAGAAATGTTGAACTGTTTGAACTCTTTCCGGGACAACCGGTTAGTCGACCGGCCAGCCAAAATTTTTTTATTTTTTTTTTGAATTGTTTGAACCAGAAATGTTGAACTGTTTGAATTTTTTCATGGACAACCAGTTGGTCAACCGGCCAGTTAACCAGCTTGTCGACTGGTTCGTCTCCTTCTAACGGTCATGTACAATGTTTTGGTGAAATGCGAAGCCTGTCCTCAGTTTGATGAATCATTTGGTGAAATCTCATTTTGATATTGATTTGGTGCAACCGTTGGAGCACCAAACAGTAACTTTTTCATCAAAATTTAAATTTGATATCAAGTTTGGTGAACCGTTGGAGATGGTCTAAGAGGAGAGAAAAATGGTGTTGAATATATTGGTTTACTATTTAAGATTGAACTTAAGAAACAAGTCAATTGATTGAGGATAAAAATAAAATAAAATTAAAATTACATTTACCTCCCCTGAGGTTTCTGAAAAACACAGGGATATCCCTTGTGGTTTGAATAATTACAGTAACCTCCCTTACTTTATCTGACAATGTCAAGATTCTCCCAAAATTTGACCGCCGTTTATACACCTAACCGTCCCTGCTGATGTCATCAACTATAAACATTAAAATACCTATAATGCCCTCAAATACCTATAATGCCTATAATGTAAACACTAAAATGCCCAATTTAAGCACTAAATTTTATTTTTTTATTTTAAATATATTTTTTTATTTAAATATTTTATTTTATTTGGTAAATATTTTAATTTTTTAATTTTAAGATTTTAAACTCAAAACACAATTTCACACTCAAATTATAATCAAACATATAACTCAAAACTCAATTCAAAAATTATTTTCAAACCTCATAACCAAACACATAACTCGAAAAACTCCACACTATTTTCAAAACTCTACACTCAAATCATAACAAAACACATAACAAAAAAATTAAAATATTTAAAAATATATTTATAAAATAAAATAAAATATTTTAAATAAAATATATTTAAAATAAAAATTAT